GGGAGAAGGGAGATTGGTCTATAGTCTGACGATTTCGATGGGTTGTTATTCTTGGGGATTAGTTTAATGGAGGCAGTTTTCCATACGGAGAGGAAGTGGTCTAGTTGCAGGCATTTGTTGAAAATGACAGGGAAAGTAGTTGGGATGGTCTCGAAGGCCATTTTCGCCATCCTGGGGGTAATAAGATCTGGTCCGGGCACCTTGCAAAGCTTAAGCCTGGAGGACTCCCTAACAATCTCTTGGCAGGAGAACATTCTGTCTTTATTAGTGGTGATGCTAGTCAGACTGTTATTCGTGATCATGGTGTGAGTATTAATGTCAGTTTCTGGGTCATCACCAGGAAAGAGATCCCTTATGATTTGAGCATAGGTGTCCTCCCCTTAAGCCCCAATCCCGAGATATCTCGGGCAAGTTACATAGTGTTACGAAAAACTCGAAATTTTTTTGAATCTGTAATGTTCTTTAGGTCTCCAAATTTTTTCAAATTTTTTTGCCCGCGCGAAAAAATTTTATCGCGATTTTAATGCGATCAACCTTTAATGACGCGCGATTAACGCTTAATTGTTTTTTAATGGGATTTTTTAATCAAATTTAATTAATCGTTCTAAAGTTGTAGTGCACGGATTTTACTTCGGTAAAGTTATTTAAAGCTACTTTCTGATATCAAAAACGACCTCCAATAGCTTTTTAATTTTTTAATTAATATTTTTTACTATATATAAGTTTAATTAAATCGGGGGTCGGAAATCGCAATTAAAATTTTAATTTTTTTTTTTTTAAATATTTAAAAATATACCGCCAGCTAGTATTCACCCTACTTTAAACCCTTGTCCTCCCGAGACGTCTATAAGAATGTCCCGGGAAATCCGACACCAGATGTTCTCAAGGTCATCCAGCTGTAAACACAATGACTCATCGGTGTCAAATTTCACAGAAAGGCGAGACAAAGGAAGTTAAACTTTCAAGCTTTTTCTTCAAAATTAGCGCATTTCTTTCGTTTTTTTCAGTTTCAAGTATTTTTTACGTTTAATTATAATTAATTAAAAATTGATCGGGAATCAAGCGATTAAGTTGTCAGGAAAACGTGTTTCATATTGTTATATTTATGTTTAATAAAATTTATCAAACATATCTTTTCGTTGTTTACTGTTTATAATAATTTTATTACTTGTTACTCTATTCAATTTTGCATATTTTCGAGGTTTCGAATGTTAGGAGGCCCCTGGACCAAGGCCCGGTAGGCCCACACCTACAGACGGACCTGACGCTATTAAATTTTGGTGATTAATTAATTAAGGGTCGACGAGGTGGGAAGATAGAGGGTTGTCGTCAGAGGGTGGGAAGATATCTCGCGTAGGGTCGGACTTAATGACGATTTTACTTGTTATTAACATTTACATTTTTTTTTTTTTTTAAATAAAACCCATCTCTACCCTCAAGACTAAGCTTTTTTTTTCATTTTATAATAATTAAAAAATATAAACTTTTAAAAAATAAAATATCATAACAGATGGCGCCACCAAAATTTTAACTGTTGCCGGGAAAGTTAAGCAACTCATTGCTGATTTTATTAAATGGCCTTCTTTACTTAAATGCTTGTTATTCAAACGCACCCTCCATGGTTTCTATATTTTGATTTTAATTTTGTACTTTTGTATGTTCTAATTTGATTTTCGTTATTATTTTGTTTTAATCAGAATTCAATTTTAAGATATTATTTTCTAACATGTAGGTTTATTTCGAAATTCCAAGATGTGGGATTTTCGAGGAAAGACGGCTCTTATCACTGGTGCTAGTCGTGGTAAGAACTTCAAAATCTCATCAATTATTATGGTAACCTTAATTAAAGGCAAAATACGGATAGATTAGGATTAAAAGTACTCAAACAGCGAACCAAAATAAAAGGAATTTATTCATATTTTTCAGTCTAGTAAATGTAGCCATATTTAATATAAAGTTTCAATTTACACTTTCCTACGAGGCACAGAATGAAATTTTAAATATAAGAAAACTATTTTACCACTTATATAACAAGTAGAGGTATCCCTTGATTAATTAATTAATGCGGTTAATCAATCCCTCGATTCTATTGCATATATCAAAATCACATCAATCAAAATACAGTATCTATGTCAAGTAAAGACAGATAATAAAGCCACATAAATTAAACACAAAATAAACGTCTTCTAAGTATTAACACTGTATTGAGTAATAAACATCCACAAACAAAACCTTTTTTATCAGTGTTGTATTCGACACAGAACACACTGATGTTTTCGGCCTCCACCAAGGCCTTCTTCAGGTGCTGAACTAGCTGGTGTCCATTAGAACGATGCTGCCCGAGTTACAAACATTGCACATATCATGTTTCACCCCTCCGTCTGTATCTTCACGCCAACGCAATCGTCTCCCTTTCCTTAAAGTTGATACAGGTCTCACCCTTAGCTTAGATCAGTTTAGTAACTCTCACGCTCATTTCCTAGATGTTGACATACGTCTCATTGGGGACAAAATAGAAATGCGTGTTTATTGCAAACTGGACCACGTTCCACTGCTTATCCCAGCAAATTTGTCTGACCCCTTTGCTTAAAAATCACGGCCTTCTGGGCCCTAACCAGATGGGTCTTCACGTATCAAACAGGCACAACACCCTGATAAAGCTCCAACACATAGAAAAGATTGCGGTTGATCATGGCTACAATAGAAGCATGGTTTGCGGTTTGGCCCGTGCCTACACCAACCACCTTCCCCTACATGCCGTTGCTAACACCCTGTCTATGGCGGACGGCGGCCAGCAGCCCGTTACGGGCGACAAGCGCACGGTCGTCCGGTTCAATGAGCATTTGGACCCCCTATACAGGGATATTGCTAGCCTTAATCGCAAGAAGATCATGTACAGGAGAACCAGAACGATTTATGAGCTGCTGCGCAACGCTAAGGACGGGATAGATCTTAACAGAGTCCCAGGGGTTTACTCCATTCCCATCAGGGATGATAGGTTCCAAAGAGACTTGGTTTATATTGGTTCAACCGCACGTTCAACAAAAAAAAAAAAAAAAAACGGTCATGGAGCATCAATCAGATCTCAAAAATAACAGGCACATCACCACCTTGACAGCATACGTTACCGACCCTGAAATTTGGGCGGACTTCCGGAACACCAAATTAATTAGACAGGCGTTTCAGATCGATCACATTTGTCACCTGGGAGATCTATAAAGCCAACGTTGGGGGGCACCTGTATCAACTTTAAGGAAGGGGAGACTATTGCGCAGGCGTGGAGATACCTGTTCGAGGAATTCGAATGGAGACAGGCGGATGGGTGAAACGTGATATGTGCAATGTTTATAACTCGGGCAGCATCGTTTTAACAGTCCAAGGGGAACACCAGTTAGTTCAGCACCTGAAGAAGGCCTTGGTGGAGGCCGAAAACGTTAGTGGGTTCTGTGTTGAATACAACACTAATAAAAAAGGTTTTGTTTGTGGACATTTATTACATAAATTAAAACTTCTGCTGCATATAAATTATAGAGGTATTTTTGCAATTAATTATGTGTGTTAATCAAATCCTGCATTAAGTAAGGGATACCTGTACTGTCAGATTAAAAACTGTTATAATGAATGTTTTTGCATGTGTTCTAAGCAACAGATCCCAAGAACCGATAGGTTTGCTAATACCTAGCCAATAAACACAATAATAATTATCAAAAATTTAGATTTAAATCTGACTAAAGATGCTAGGTGGTTATGATTTAACTATTAACTGTGCAATCAGTTGAAAATTACGGACATTTTGTTTATTTTTTCTAAGACAGTGGACAGAGCCTTTAAAGTATGGACTGCCCGTACTAAATACGGACATACGATAAATATCTTTCTAGACAGCTTCGAATATGGGTACTTTAATTGTTTGTTTGTTTTGTTAAGGTATGGCAATGCAACGCTTTGGCGATCTGCCTGGGGGGGTGCTTTCTGTGAGGTCTTTAAGGGTAACTGGTCCCTATTCAGATGTTACAGATGTGGAGAAAACCCAGAAAACTTCACGTGGCCAGCCTGTCCTGGCAAGGTGCAAACCCACAACCAAAATCCCAGTGTTCAGGGAATGGAACTGCTTGGCCACTGATGGACCAGATACTTTGTGATCAGCTGGCATATTTATAGTTATTACTCTTATATATTGTTTTATGCTTGATATATGGATACATAGATAATTTAAAGAATAGACTTTATTTATTTAATGATTATAGGTTTATTGTAAAAATGTTAAAAAAAATTGTTTAATGATTTATATGACAATTTTAAAATTATCCTCTTCAAAAACAGATAAAGATAAAACATATTATTGATATTTATAAAAGTTAACAGTTAAATAAATTTCACCTTGACAGTTATAACATAATTTTGTTCAAAGTTTTATTTAATAATAATATAAAACATTTTGTTAAAATGATAATTTTTCAGTTCAGTATTGTACAATGCAATATTCAGTTGTCTTATGAATTACAGTATTCACCAATTTTTAAATGCATTTGTAAGTAGCACAATCAAAATACATTTTTGATTTATATTGCAAAAATATTAAAATAAAAGAACTACATCAAAACTTAATCATAATTTCGTATAAAATAAAATTAAATAGATTATGCAAAGAAGTGATACAAGTTATTTTAATGTATAAGTATTTTTATTGCCAATTCGATAATTGATTTTATATTTCTATGCAATAGGCATTGGACGTGAAATTACTAAAAGGCTTGTGGAATGTGGTGCTAAAGTTTTTGCTCTTGGAAAGACTCAATCCAATTTAAATAATCTTCAACTGGAAGTGAGTAATTTATTATATATTTATATATTCTGTCATAAATATGATAACAGTATACTTATAATATAATGTATATGACAACTTTTTAATGTCATGTTTGTTAGATTTCACAAATTTTGAAATTATAATGAGAAAAAATTATTGTGACATTTTCAATTTTTAATTTATTTAATTTAAAACATATGCTTCTAGACCTGAAATTAGTAGTGTCTTGCCCCTGTACATCATACTTTTCCTGATAACAAAATAATGTCAGTCATCTATGTAACTCTGTTCTAGGAAAATTTTTTGAGTTGAAATCACCTGCCTTCTGGTTAAGACCAGAAGTTCAAATACAGTTAATGGGGGCCTCCTGCCTTGAAGCTTTCCATATCTGGTCTTGACTTTCTTCTATCCAACACTGTTCTTGAGATTAAGGAAGGACAGTTGACAGTGGGAATTTATAGATTACAATTTTTGAAAATTGCAGCCCAATGAAAAATAAATTAATTAATAAATTTAATTTTTATGCAAAGTCATTTTGCACAAAGGAACATTTTAAATCACAAAATACAGTCAGGCAAGAAATTAATTAAAGTTTTCATATTTGTATTCATTTCAGATTTTTGTAAAACAATAAACAGAAAGCTTTTGACATAGGAAACAATTATAACAATTATATGATGTAAATGTTACTTAAAAGCATTTGTAGATGTCTAAGGAGTATCGAGATTACTCCGGACAAAAGGTTGGGTAAAAAATGTTACTTGAGAACCTTACATAAGACAAATGACTTGGGTTGAAAGTAAGAAAATTTTTAATAATTGGCAATATAGCTACACTTTAGCTTATCACTACTAGATACAAAATAAAAACCATGATCGTGTCAATTAGTAATTATTCCATTTCGCGGATATGATTATAAAGAAGAAGAAAAGTACATTATACAGTCACTTCACAGAAGCAGCTCCCTCATTGAAACTACTGTATGCGTCTGAACAAAAACTTCACCTTACATCCCAGAGTCCTCTCACAAATAGGTTCGGCCATGTGGTTTCGATGATGCAGATTGATTCCTTTCATGGCGAATTTCTGTCCCTTTGCCACGACCAATTCGTACTCCTTGCACACTCCAGCGTACCTCTGCCCGTCAAGCCCAAGTCCCGGTCAGCAAAAAGAGGTCCTTCCACACATGGGATGGCAATTTATATCTCCCGCCATTGTGCCACGTCACCCACCACACATGAACACCGCACAGCCAATTGNATGAAGATGAATATAAACATGCTGCATAATAGATGTTAAAACACCACAGGTTAACATATACCATTACAAGTGAAGGAACACATAATAACTTCATTGAATACGTTGCATAGTCTTTAGCCTTCGCAGAATATCTTGAGCCACAGATAAACAATGATGCATATCAAGATGCCACTTGTAATTTAACGAATGTCATGTTTGTTAGATTTCACAAATTTTGAAATTATAATGAGAAAAAATTATTGTGACATTTTCAATTTTTAATTTATTTAATTTAAAACATATGCTTCTAGACCTGAAATTAGTAGTGTCTTGCCCCTGTACATCATACTTTTCCTGATAACAAAATAATGTCAGTCATCTATGTAACTCTGTTCTAGGAAAATTTTTTGAGTTGAAATCACCTGCCTTCTGGTTAAGACCAGAAGTTCAAATACAGTTAATGGGGGCCTCCTGCCTTGAAGCTTTCCATATCTGGTCTTGACTTTCTTCTATCCAACACTGTTCTTGAGATTAAGGAAGGACAGTTGACAGTGGGAATTTATAGATTACAATTTTTGAAAATTGCAGCCCAATGAAAAATAAATTAATTAATAAATTTAATTTTTATGCAAAGTCATTTTGCACAAAGGAACATTTTAAATCACAAAATACAGTCAGGCAAGAAATTAATTAAAGTTTTCATATTTGTATTCATTTCAGATTTTTGTAAAACAATAAACAGAAAGCTTTTGACATAGGAAACAATTATAACAATTATATGATGTAAATGTTACTTAAAAGCATTTGTAGATGTCTAAGGAGTATCGAGATTACTCCGGACAAAAGGTTGGGTAAAAAATGTTACTTGAGAACCTTACAAAAGACAAATGACTTGGGTTGAAAGTAAGAAAATTTTTAATAATTGGCAATATAGCTACACTTTAGCTTATCACTACTAGATACAAAATAAAAACCATGATCGTGTCAATTAGTAATTATTCCATTTCACGGATATGATTATAAAGAAGAAGAAAAGTACATTATACAGTCACTTCACAGAAGCAGCTCCCTCATTGAAACTACTGTATGCGTCTGAACAAAAACTTCACCTTACATCCCAGAGTCCTCTCACAAATAGGTTCGGCCATGTGGTTTCGATGATGCAGATTGATTCCTTTCATGGCGAATTTCTGTCCCTTTGCCACGACCAATTCGTACTCCTTGCACACTCCAGCGTACCTCTGCCCGTCAAGCCCAAGTCCCGGTCAGCAAAAAGAGGTCCTTCCACACATGGGATGGCAATTTATATCTCCCGCCATTGTGCCACGTCACCCACCACACATGAACACCGCACAGCCAATTGAAACAAGGCAGCTGTGCCACAAAAAAAAAAAGGCGGTTCAGAAGAACTGAAAACAAAGTTCACAATTACAATACCAGGTACGGAATAATGGATCTAATACAAGAAGGGTATACATACACTCACCGAACACAAGAATTATAGTGGCGCAGCACTACACATTAAATGTCATAAATGCCACTTATATTCACTAAATGTTGTGAATATAACATAAAAGCATTAATTGCCACTTAAACGTATGGCTGCCTACCTGTCTTTAAATGGCACTTAAGGGAATAAAGTGGCATTTAGGGCAATTATATCATGCAAATATTACTTGAGTGCATGAAATGACATAAATGCCACTTATAGTCACTGATATACTGATAAAAATAACTTATTATATATATATGAAATTTTATAATTAATTGAGATTTGCATTAATGTAAATATAGTAAATTCTGGCAAGAATACTTATGTGAAGGGTTGAAAATATTCATTACAATATTTTTATTTTATTTTAATAAAACAGAAAAACATTAGTAATAAAATCTCCATGCCAAAATTCAATAACTTTTGCTGTGTATAAAAACTTGATTTGTAAAATTTGTTTTTCAGTAAATAAATGTGCTTTTACAGATTCCTTCTGTAATTCCTGTATGTGTTGATATAAGTGACTGGAAGAAAACAAAAATAGCTGTTGAAAATATTGGAGTTATAGATCTGTTAGTTAATAATGCAGGAATATATGAAGAAATTTTATTTGGTGAAATAACTGAAGAAATCTTTGATAGGTATTATATTTTTTAATATTTCTTAATAAAGAAAGCAATCAGCAATTTAATAATAATTTTTTTTTTTATTTATGTAATGAAGAATATTTTCAGTGAATGTTAAGCCTGTCATCAATGTTTCACAGGTTAGTTTTCTGTTTCAANGTAGATAAATATGCATATATACATTGACACAGCTGCATTACCTTACACATTTAAGTGTTATCACAGTTCATGCTAGGGTAAAAAATGAAGATGAATATAAACATGCCGCATAATAGATGTTAAAACACCACAGGTTAACATATACCATTACAAGTGAAGGAACACATAATAACTTCATTGAATACGTTGCATAGTCTTTAGCCTTCGCAGAATATCTTGAGCCACAGATAAACAATGATGCATATCAAGATGCCACTTGTAATTTAACGAATGTCATGTTTGTTAGATTTCACAAATTTTGAAATTATAATGAGAAAAAATTATTGTGACATTTTCAATTTTTAATTTATTTAATTTAAAACATATGCTTCTAGACCTGAAATTAGTAGTGTCTTGCCCCTGTACATCATACTTTTCCTGATAACAAAATAATGTCAGTCATCTATGTAACTCTGTTCTAGGAAAATTTTTTGAGTTGAAATCACATGCCTTCTGGTTAAGACCAGAAGTTCAAATACAGTTAATGGGGGGCCTCCTGCCTTGAAGCTTTCCATATCTGGTCTTGACTTTCTTCTATCCAACACTGTTCTTGAGATTAAGGAAGGACAGACAGTTGACAGTGGGAATTTATAGATTACAATTTTTGAAAATTGCAGCCCAATGAAAAATAAATTAATTAATAAATTTAATTTTTATGCAAAGTCATTTTGCACAAAGGAACATTTTAAATCACAAAATACAGTCAGGCAAGAAATTAATTAAAGTTTTCATATTTGTATTCATTTCAGATTTTTGTAAAACAATAAACAGAAGGCTTTTGACATAGGAAACAATTATAACAATTATATGATGTAAATGTTACTTAAAAGCATTTGTAGATGTCTAAGGAGTATCGAGATTACTCCGGACAAAAGGTTGGGTAAAAAATGTTACTTGAGAACCTTACATAAGACAAATGACTTGGGTTGAAAGTAAGAAAATTTTTAATAATTGGCAATATAGCTACACTTTAGCTTATCACTATTAGGTACAAAATAAAAACCATGATCGTGTCAATTAGTAATTATTCCGTTTCACGGATATGATTATAAAGAAGAAGAAAAGTACATTCTACAGTCACTTCACAGAAGCAGCTCCCTCGTTGAAACTACTGTATGCGTCTGAACAAAAACTTCACCTTACATCCCAGAGTCCTCTCACAAATAGGTTCGGCCATGTGGTTTCGATGATGCAGATTGATTCCTTTCATGGCGAATTTCTGTCCCTTTGCCACGACCAATTCGTACTCCTTGCACACTCCAGCGTACCTCTGCCCGTCAAGCCCAAGTCCCGGTCAGCAAAAAGAGGTCCTTCCACACATGGGATGGCAATTTATATCTCCCGCCATTGTGCCACGTCACCCACCACACATGAACACTGCACAGCCAATTGAAACAAGGCGGCTGTGCCACAAAAAAAAAAAAAAGGCGGTTCAGAAGAACGGAAAACAAAGTTCACAATTACAATACCAGGTACGGAAAAATGGACCTAATACAAGAAGGGTATACATACACTCACTGAACACAAGAATTATAGTGGCGCAGCACTACACATTAAATGTCATAAATGCCACTTATATTCACTAAATGTTGTGAATATAACATAAAAGCATTAATTGCCACTTAAACGTATGGCTGCCTACCTGTCTTTAAATGGCACTTAAGGGAATAAAGTGGCATTTAGGGTAATTATATCATGTAAATATTACTTGAGTGCATGAAATGACATAAATGCCATTTATAGTCACTGATATACTGATAAAAATAACTTATTATATATGAAATTTTATAATTAATGAGATTTGCATTAATGTAAATATAGTAAATTCTGGCAAGAATACTTATGTGAAGGGTTGAAAATATTCATTACAATATTTTTATTTTATTTTAATAAAACAGAAAAACATTAGTAATAAAATCTCCATGCCAAAATTCAATAACTTTTGCTGTGTATAAAAACTTGATTTGTAAAATTTGTTTTTCAGTAAATAAATGTGCTTTTACAGATTCCTTCTGTAATTCCTGTATGTGTTGATATAAGTGACTGGAAGAAAACAAAAATAGCTGTTGAAAATATTGGAGTTATAGATCTGTTAGTTAATAATGCAGGAATATATGAAGAAATTTTATTTGGTGAAATAACTGAAGAAATCTTTGATAGGTATTATATTTTTTAATATTTCTTAATAAAGAAAGCAATCAGCAATTTAATAATAATTTTTTTTTTTATTTATGTAATGAAGAATATTTTCAGTGAATGTTAAGCCTGTCATCAATGTTTCACAGGTTAGTTTTCTGTTTCAATGAATTTTTAAATTATTGCATTTATGATAATTGTACAGTTCATTCACATCAAAGCTGATATATGGTAGGATCTTAAGTGGAATTGCTATATGCAGATTCGTGTTTTCAGTCTTGAAGAGAGACAATATGGACCCTGGTAAAAACTCAGAGCCCCTCAGACCCTCCCCTAACCACATTAACTCAACTTGCCCCTCCCAACGACCCAATCTAATTCAACCCATCAATTTTCTATATCCTTTTCTCTATGCACTGCAGTGATATGTCCTTACAAATAAATAAAGAAATTTACTTTAAAAAACTGGCACCTGTAAGGGTTTAAGCCCTGTTGTTACAGTAACATCTCCCCCTCTCATTAGGGCTGCATGTTTTTGTGGATAACAAATGGTTAGATTAACTTACTCCTGATGTCACTGAATCTGACTCATAAGTCAGCAAACTGTGCTTCCTCAGCTTCTGATATTCCAAACATGGACTACTACTGAAAGCTATTCATTGTGATGAAGTGGTAGCATTCAGTTTGGTTTGCATGTAGTCTGTTTTTCTCAAGTAGTAAACTATATTCAATATGGTGTAATAAAGTGTTCAGAAACATCAAACTAAAAAACTATTCAGTTACAGTAAAAACACATTTCAATGTTTTTCTGTTAATTTTAAATGTTTGCATAAATCTCTATGCAATTGTCATGAACTATTTAGGTGAAGCATAAATGTATGCAGCATTTCATTTTATGCATTAGGCTGTCTGCTGATACTCGTCCTAGTAAAGCAAAACCTTACTATATTTAAATTATTTTTGATTGAAACTATCATTTTAGGAATTTAACTGAATTTAGTGAAAACTTAAAATTAACCATGTTTTATGTTGGTACTAATGAAAATAAAATAAAAACGTTTTGGTAGTTCTCCATACAACTGGTATGGGGCTTATTATCCTGAAGATGCTATTTTTATCATTTTCAGTTTTCTGTTATAAATTGTAAGGCGAATTTCTAAGATTATCATGTTTCATTTTATTTTTGTTTGTTCTGGCAGGAAATGCCATAATTTTTTTTCTTTCCTTTTAACTTATAAAATTCTTTTATATACAGTATTCATTTTGCAGTTAAACTTTCAGTGATGATTGATGTTAACTAGAAAGAGGTTGAATAAATCTTTTCTTTGTAGAAATGGGCTGGCAGAATTACATTTTAATAAAATATAAAATTCATCTGGATACAAGTCCAAGTTTACTTGCCATGTCTAATCACCAGGAACAACTATTTCCATTGCAGAGACAACCTTTCTTTAGAGGCTATGCCTCTGCACGAATATGTAAAACNAAATATTGTTTAAAAAAGATGTTTAATATTTTTAAATGAGTAATAAAATCAAAATACTGTATATGTATTTGAGAATAATTAAATTAAAGTAATGATTATAATGTGCTTTGCAAAGAAATAAACAGACCAAAAATTTCAACATAATTTTACTGCATTTTAGTATAGTAATATGAACTTTATATTATTTTATTTGATATTATTAGGATAAAACTTATTTAACAAAAAACAAATAAAACACAATCCTATTAATATAAAATAATTATACCATTTATGGGTTTTTCAAATGGATAAGAAAGAAAAATTTTTTTAGTTTTATTTACATATTCTTTAAAAATTTACAACATAAAAATTAGTTTTCCAGTCAACTAACATTTAAAAATAAAATGTTCATAAAATCTATTTCCATTTATACTGTACTATAATATGAATGTAAACTTTTCAAAACACGTAGGCTATAAAGGTTATTTCAAAAAGGACTGTAGATTTTTAGTTGTGAATAAAATGCAAATGATTTAATATATGAGCAGTTCATTTATTTCACATTAAATAATGATCTACAATTATACTTTGAAGATGATATCATACAAATGTCCCCCATGTACAAACATCTATCCAATCATGAAAATTCTCAATAACTTTTTGGCATGTTTCTTGTGTAATCTCTTGAATAGCATGACAAATGTGTTTAAGATTGTCTATGGTTTATGGATTGTTAGCATAGACTCTTCCTTTCAGTAAACCCCAAAGAAAGAAGTCTAGTGTCATCAAATCACATGATATTGGAGGTCAATTAACATCACCTTTTTAAGAAATTATTTGCCCTGGAAACTTAGTACTTAACAAAGCAATATTCTCGTGAGTTGTGTGGCAGCCAAATTCTCCATACAGTCAATTATGTTAGTTGTAAGCTTTGTGAACAATACAAAATTGACATTCTTTGATTTCATTCAACACCTTCATGCACTGCATTGATGCATTGATGTTTTCATTTGTTCTGGCACTCCTCAGCTTACCAGATATTGGACAATTAAAAACTGCCCAATCTCTTCAAATTTGGTGGTTCTAATTTTTGTAGATTATTATTCAATGTCCTCTTATATATTAAATTGTTTGCATTTTATTCGCAACAAAAACTTTCTGGAAGACCCTTACATAGATACCTATTTTATTTTGCTTTGATTATTTCCATATATAATATATGTAATAATTCATATTAAATGCTCTAGAATAATATGGTATCATTCAATATATATGTAAATATTTTACTTATTTTTCAGATAATTGTTAAAAATTTGAAAGAACAGAATAAAAGTGGTGCAATTGTTAATATTTCCAGCATTCTGTCAATGAAAACAGAATTAAATACCATGATTCATTCTGCAAGTAAAGCTGCTGTAGACAAATTTACTAAAGCAATGGCTGTTGAATTTGGTCCTTATAAAGTAGGTGATTTAACAGAAAATAATTTTGTTACGTATGTAATAGAGTATGTTATAAGAATTCTTTTTCAAAATACACAAAAAATCTAATGTATTCAGTTAATAAAATAAAATTTATAACAGATATGTTCTAAACTGCTTCAGTTGTTTTGCAGGGAAGTTTACTTTTAAACTAATAATTAACATAATTAATTTTTCTTATTCAGCTTTATATTTATATAATTTTAATATATAAATATAAACAAATATTTAAATATAATAAATTATGAATATATAATTAACAAGTGTACATTCCAATTCTTTTTTATCAGGAAGCTTAATATAAGCACTTCTATGTATTTATTGCTCAATAAAGTCTGAATTTGATATTTCTTTATATCTTAATACTTTTGTTAAATGTAGTGATGACAATACAATTTTTAACCATTATTTTGAACTATTATTTTTTTGTGTTCACTGTTGTGTAATTTATTTGTCTCCATAGTGATTTTTGATAGATAGACTTTCTAAATTCATATTTATATAATTAATTCTAATTGAAATGTGTATAGTCTGTTAAATCTATTCACAACAGAAAATTACTGTCCACTCTTGTTAGCCTTAACCCTGTTTAGTGTCAACTGTCAGTATCACCAATTTGATCTTGACTTTCATCTATCTAACATCATTCTCAAGATTAAGAAAGGATAGACAGACATCCAGATGACAGTGGGAATTTATAGGTCTACAATTTTTGAAAATTGCAGCCCTATCCCAACAAAGATCAAGAAAGCAATAGTGAAGTTGATGACTAAATCTACAATGATAACCAGTTCTTACTTCAAAAGATGATGTTTTTCCTGTTGATTGTTTTCATTGATTTTGTTAGGAATATTAAATATTTTGATTGGATATCACGCCAACAGTTGTGTTAATTCAATTATAAACTTCAGACTAGGAGGCGTTAAAGAGAATTAAAAGGAATATTTTAATCTTGCAAATGCTTTCAATGTAAATATTTACGTTGAAAGCACTTGCAAGATTAAAATATTCCTTTTAATTCTCTTTAACACCTCCTAGTCTGAAGTTCATTGATTTATGAAAACTGAAGAAAATTCTGAATACACATTTACTTACATCAATAAATTACATGAAAATATTGACAAATTCATAGATTAGAATGCAAATTCTTCATAACAAAATTTTTAAAATCACTGTTTTTTTTATGCCCAATTTTTATTGTACCTGATGATTACTTTTGAATGTTTCTGTGATTTTTTAAGAAAATTATTATCTGAAATCAGAAATTGTAATCTTACAATGAAATATACTGAAATATTACCATATCCATGCAATATAACTTTTTTTGAGACTAAAATTATTAATGTTAATATGATTGGTAATGTGTTAACATTAACATGATGTTAATATTTGTTAAGACATCTATTAATGTGAATCTACTGGTTAAATATGGTAAATTTATTTAATTACAATGCAAAGAAATTCATTTAAATCAATAAATAAACATATGCAGGAAGTTATAAGTATTTAACTTAATATATAGTATGTTCTATAAAGTATTTTATATGTAACAAAGTTTAAATTTAATTTACAACAGTTTCTGATTACTGTACTTTTTTAAATCAGAGTTTGTGTATAAAGATATTATTATATCAATATTTATAAATTAAATTGGATCATTAATAACAAACTAATGTTCTGAAATATTTTTAAAGTAAAAATAAAGATTAAATTATAAAATATAATTTCAATATTTGCAGATTCGCTGTAATTCTGTAAATCCTACTGTAGTTGAAACAGAATTGGCCAAAAGTATATTAGATGATGTCACAACTTCAACAAAATTAAAAACTAAAATTCCTTTAGGAGAATTTTGTAGTATGTATAAAATAATTTTTTAATTACCATACTATTTTGTATTAATATAAAGCAGTGGTTCTTAACCTTTTAGTGATGAGGGACCATTTATCAAAATTTTTGTCTTGCCATAGCTGTTTGGCAGTAATACAGGTTCTTATACGGTTGTTCTATAAATTAAACACGTAGAAAATTATTCGGAACCAAGAGTATTATATTATTTGCAAAAGTGTTACATTAATTATATTATTTTAGTGCAATTTTTGTGACTGCATACTGTTTACCAACTGCTGAATTCTTGGTTCGGTGCTACTCAAAGCAAACGCATATCGGCACTGGCATCCAACTGATTTCAATGTTTATTTTTAATTATCAAAAGCACTGAGAATCCTTGCTCGCATAAACATGTGGTTGAAAATCAAGTTAGGTACTGTAAAGCAATTTCTCGAATTTTAGGGAAAGCAATAGCTTTTTGGCTCCAAAAATCTTTAAGATTAATTCCTGTCTCGAATGTATCCTTGCAGTTACTATCATGTTGCATTTTAATTAACTACTCTTGTATTTCATCCAGCTCCTCAGAAATGTTGACTATGAAAGGATTGCAAATCAGTTTCCGAATACCTTTGTCCTTGCAGGCAGGAAAATAGTGGTTAAATTCATTTTTCAAGCTTTGCAAATGGAATGGAATGTTCTTTTGTATTTTTCCTTTAATCTCGGCACTCTGTCAATCAATAATTGGGTTCAATGTATCAAACGCAGAAAAATTCTCTCTTTCGACTTTGCTGATCCATAGGTCAATTTTAGCGATAAACGCACTGATTTTATCTTCAAATGGAAATTTATTAAGTGGCTGACCACACACCATACCCCAGCCCAGTCCGCTATCAGCTCTAACCTTGACATACCGCGCATTGTCATCAACTCATCGTCATTTATTTAATAATTTTGGGATAATTTCACGGACCACTTCAGGTACTTTCAGGGACCACCAGTGGTCCATGGACCACAGGTTAAGAACCACAGATATAAAGTTATCTCATAAATAATATTTTTATAATAGAATAAATTTTAAACAAATCCTCTCTCTCTCTCTTTCTCTTTCTTGAAACTTGAATTAGGAGGAGATCTATAATATTATGATGCATACTTTTAGACAAATAATTAAAAAGTATTTTTGTTCAAATAAGGTCTTCAAAATAACATCAATATCAAATTTGTGTAAATAATTCCTCTAGCAATGTTGCTTTATTTAATCATAAAATTTTCTGAATAGAATATAACATTTTGATTGTTAATTTATTGTCAAATATTTTTAATACATATTATAATTTAATTTGTGTTAAAATTATCACACAAATATGTTTAGGCAATCTTAAACTTTTGGATAATTTGCTCATTTGTACATCACCTTTTGTCACTCCTAAATTGCATTTTGTATTCCAAATTCAGACTTTTGTAATTTTCAGCCTAAAAACAAAAACTTTAAACTATCTTGAGATGATGCTTTCTATCAACTTTGATTTCAGTAATAGCAAAATCATTTGAGAAAATTAATTTTTATTTGTGTTTACTGCTATAGTGTCAATATTTTAAATATTTTATGCATTATAATTTAGCAGGTTGTTAAATTAAGCAAGGGTTGCATTTTAAGTCACATGCATCTTGAATTTCACATAATGAACAAAATTTTATCATTTACACTAAAGGTAAATGCCATAATGAGTCTCTCACATGTAAATTTGACCCTATTAATACTCTAGATGTATGGTACATGATGGGCTGTACTATACTAATAAATAGTTTTAATACATACTATGTATCAATAACATGTATAAAATGAAAATGGTTTATATAGACATAATTTATTAGTTTGGCACAAAGAGCCACCAATTGAAACAAATGAAAAAAACATGATCATTAGATTAGCTATAGTTCAACAGTTTTGATTTTTAAATAGAAATCTCAGTGTGGAGTTTGAATAAAAGATGATCAAGAAAAGTTTTGTATCCATTTGTCAGTGGCTGTATGGATCTTCTCCAAAACTAGTAATGATATTATTGTGGTAAACCAGTAATGGACTTCAGAGTGTATTCAGAGTTGTGATTGATGGACTGGTACTGGTACATGAATTGATAGTACTATTATATGAATTGATAGTACTATTATAAATCATTTACTGATGAAACTTATTTTCTGGTTCATAGTTTATTATTAGGTTCATAATGATTTTGATTCATAATTTATTTTCAGGTGTTAAAGATGTGGCAGAAACTGTTTTATTTCTTCTTAGCGATCATGCAAGAATGATTAATGGAGTCAATTTCCCTTTAGATGGTGGATATGCAGCTGTATAATTTATATATTGATTTTTTACAAAGCTTATTTAAAAAATAAACTTTGATATTTTCAATTCTTGTCAAAAAGCTATATCTGTAATTATTTTCAGAGAAAAACATTTTAAAATTTTTAATAAATAATAACCACTTATATTAAATATTTCTGTAATATAATAAACATTGAAAAGGAATGCATATACAATTTCCTAGTAGAATTTTTTCTGTTTATTATTTTTTTTAACTATCACTATCAAAAATATCATTTGATAACAGTAAAGACACAAATGACCATGTTTGAAGAATGGATTGACTAGTTAGATTCTAGACTTAAACCAAATACAGCAAGTCTGAGACACACTATGACAGGTTTAAAGAGTACTTTCTGTAATATGTATATACACAAGGTGATCAGGATCGACCACACAATTATCATACCACATGATTCCTTAAAAAAAAACCAACCCAATAAAATGTTATCCATTTTTCAATTGGATGAGGCATTTTAGAGATATTCATGTTGAAAGGTTTGTGATATCACTTCTAGTATAAAGAGAAAAATCTGAAATAACTCTTACAGAAAGAAGGTATTTATTAACTTGTATACAGTATAACTGGTTACATTATTTTATAATAAGTGTTCAAAATGACCTCTACCTAGAGATGAACCAAGTGGCTGCCCATCAAATAATACTCCTTTGTATGCATTGCAGCATGGCAGGTGTTATGGTTTTGATGGCTGCATGTAAGGCAGCCACTAGGTCCTGCTAGGAGTCTGCTGGCCATCTGTAAACAAGTGCTTTAAGATGCCCCATAAAAAAATCTACAGGATTCAGATCAGGTGATCTAATAGGCCTTGTGACTGGACCACTATGGCCAATCCATAGACCTGGATATTCCCTGTCCAACCACTGGTGAACAACCAATGAAGAAGAATGCACCAGTAAACCATTGTGCTGAAACCATAGATTGCAAATAAATTCCAAAGGTATGGCTCTAAAAAATCTGGCAGGACATTGTACAAAAAAATAGGTAATTTCCAGCTGTCAGACATTTGGGAAGAAGTTACAGTCCCTCAAGAATATTGCACACAAAACCACACCAAATACAATACTGTATTGATACCCCAATGGACTTGGTATGACCTGTGTGAATGTGTAGCCATGGGAATTTTCTGATGTCCAAACATGGCTGTTATAGATCTAAAGATCTCACATGTAAACATTGCTTTGTCAATCCACAAGATACAGAGGATGAAAGTACTATCTGAGATGATGATGTGACAGCCACTCACAGTACACCTGTCTTCATGGCAATCCTCCTGATGAAGATCTTGCATTCATGTGAATGATACAGATGCAGGTCCTTGACATGCAGAATGGATAGTATGATACTTTGATGTAAATTTAATTGTAACATAATTGCCCAGCTACTGGTCATTGGGTCCTCCTGTATCAATGCTAGTATGGAATCCTTGACAGATGGTGTACACACAATGTACATTTCCATTGTCTACATTCAGTTGTAATATGACCCTACCTGTTTTGCATATTTGACAGTCAAAACACCTGATGTCTTGGCATTGAGTGTCTTGACAATGTCATGTTGGATATTTTGGGTATTTCTGACTGTATATGTATAGTCTTGTTTATCTTGCTTAGCTTAGAATGCTTAAGGAATGTTATACTTCAGCATCAGGAGCTTATTGCTCCCAATGCTGAGCCATAACACTCCTTCAATAGGAGGTACTGTACATGTCACAATACTCTTGTACACTGTATGACATAACTAAAAAAACAAAAATAATAGAAAAAGAAGTATTGCCTAGCATCAAGGTAAAATGAAATGGTTTAACCAATGCCATATGAGCTAAGCTGCTGGTATAAACTTTTGTTTCCACTCCCAACCTTTTATATATGTGTATTTTGATTTACTCTCAGGTACCAGCAAACGCAGTGATTTCTAAGAAATACTTTATTTGGTGTTTTTAGAGTTAAAATTCTGAATGACCTAAAGTCAGTCAAACACTGAAGTGATTAGGTGTGGAAAGCCACACCTAATCAAAAAATGGATAACACTTTTTCAGGTTGATTTTCAACAAGGAATCATGGTACTGTATGATTATTGTATAGTCAGTCGATTCTAATCATCCTATATAGTGTACTGTACATATATATATATATATTCTAAAGCCAATATTTTTAATGTCAGATATACACTATATATATATATAATGTATATCTGACATTAAAAATATTGGCTTTAGAATTTAAAAAATGAAATATAGTAACTTAAAAAAAATAAAAGGATAATAAACACCCTGAGCTACATATGATATATAATAAGAATATAAAACAAAAATAAACAACTTAAATAAATACCTGAAACATCACCTGTCTGAGATTCAGTAGGCTACCTTGGAATTAATATACGAAATTAGATAATTTTTTTCACCTCAAACTATTTTAGATATATTTTTTACATTATTTTTGGAATTTATCATTATTATAAATGTATTACAACATTAATATACTACAATTAATAATTATTACTGAGAATATTTACAACAAACAAATATAATCATATGGCTTGTTATGTGCAAATCTTTGTCATTTTGGACATGAATGCTAAAGATTCACTATTATTATTATTATAGAGAAAAATATAGTAGTTCATTATTTTCCAGAAAACTTATGAGCTATGTTCTGCCCTTATTGAAGAATAAAATTTGTGTCTTTGAAGCTGATTTAGAATAAGTATAAATCATCAATGTAAAATTGTTTAGATTGTGAATGATGATCATATATCCTATATTTCCTCTTGCACTGATAGCATATGATGTTGCAGTTTGGAATCCTATACTCTCATGATCTTGATTTATTAAAATGAAGAATATTAAATTTAATTATAGTCTGTCTGTGGAAAGAATCAACTTGAGACCAACATCACACGATAATATGTCAGGCAGTGTGTGAATTTTATTTTATGTTCTCTCTAGATGGCAGAAGGACTTTTCCATTATGTCAATTTTTTAATAGCATGTATTAACTGTAAAGTGTTTAACAACTACTATACCAGACTTCCTCGTATTCAAATACCAAAATGTGAAGTTTTCATAACTTTGTTTATAATGGTGGTGACATGTTTAACAAATGAGGAAGAAACTGTAAGTAACTTGCCACAACTAAGCAATCAATGATTGATGCTCATTGGTTGATTGTTCAATAGTCAGACTATAATGTTCCTTGACTATATGATTATTTGTATACATAATATGCATTAAATACAATTAATTGTTAAATATATTGTAATTTATTTTGAAATGACCTTCAGACTTAATTTACTAGAATATTTGAATGTATTAATACCTGTCCAAGACAATTCACACCTGTCTCTTATATTTAAAGTTATATCTATAAATGAACTTTAAATATAAGAGATAAATATGACATAGACAAGTCTTTTATTATGGATTATCTCATGATCCTTTTGCAGGAAAAGCAGCAAGAGAGCAGATATCTGTCCATGGACAGGTGCAGAGAGTGCGTATGCACTCCATAAAATTTGAAGTAGAAAAGAGTTTTCTGTAGTATAAAGTAGCTTTGTAAATCTAGCTTTGTAGTCCAACTACAAAGCTAGTTTTACAATTATGATATGTGATAATGCAAGTACCAGTTCAATACCATTGTGCATTGCAAACTGACTTATAATTTCCCAGCAGATGACACCCCAGACTTGCAAATCCTCTACTGGAATAACAAGTTATCTTGTTAACAGAACTTATCACCTGAAGGTGCATAAATATGTACCAATAGTCTGCCCAATTCATCACTGATGGTGCAGACTGCCAATCAGCTGTTAGACTCACTAACTTTTATGCAATTTAACTGTTATGATTTAGCCAAATCCTGATCCAATTTCAAATGGTGACAAGTTATTGCTCTGGTACCTGAATAAAAGCATCAACAAAATGTAAAAGGAAGTTGCTACTTTATATATAGTTGAGAAAGTCATTTTGCTTTTCTGTGACATGACTTTTCTGATGAAATAATTGCACATGTTTGTGAACAAAGCAACTGTGATACAAAAACAAAATAATTACAATGTTGCCAGATCCGACATTGTAAAAGTAGCACAAATTTTAATTATTATTCTAATTCATACATTTGAATTAAAATTCCAGATATTTATTTAATTAAATAAATTTTTTAAATAAGCTTAAAATTATTTGTGTAAGATTTGCCATTTTCTTATCATGATATTAAAAATAATTGGTTTTGGATATTGATATTCACATGAAGTACCAGTACATTCCCTAAATGAAATTCCTGGATCTGCCCCTGCTATCATCCATACTGAGCATTTAGCCATTTACATATAAAATTTAGTGATCATGTCCTTAAGTTACATCTGGTAAAAAAAATCTGATGTTGAAATATTTATACTTGGTAAAAAATCTAATGATGAATCAAAATGACAAATCTTTTTGCAATTTTGCTAGAATCCACTCTTTATTAATGAGAATAAAGCATTTTATTAGTGAGAAATGAAAAAAATTGTACACTACTGCTGGAGTAGATCAGAAAAGAGTGAGAATGCCTTATCTAATAGGAAGTGATTGAAACATATTGCATATTACAAATAAAATAAATTTCATGTTTTCCACATAGTATATATCATACAGGTAATAAAATTGGTTGGTTGGAGTTGGAATTTGTGGCACAAGAACCTAGATAGGCCAGAGTGCAAGTTTTAAAAATAAAATTGAAAACAAGGTTCTTAGATCATTATTTTTCATATCAAAAAATTAGAACATATATCAAATTTTGTTCAAAAGTTAGAACACTAAATAGAAATACTAGAACATGCAACAAAAATAATTGAATATGGTTCTACAAAATAAATCATATTGAAATATTGTACAAACATAAATCGATAAATTATTGATTTAATTTCTCTCTCTCAAAAAGTATTTACAGCAAAACAAAAGGTATACATTGAAAGTGTTAGGCATGAGCCCATCAGGAACCACAACTAGTGCACAAGTTTCTTTAACATTTGTTAAAAAGTATATTTCTATCATTATTGTTGAATGGAAATTATTTTATAGTGTAAACCAGTGCTTCCCAACTAAGTCAATGAAGGTTTGAAAGGAGATCAATGAGCAAATTAGATATATTATTGTACTGTACATGCATATATAATATTTAATAATGTTTAATTATTTAGTAAATAGTCATTTAAAAATTCTTGAAAGTATTTTCATTTTCAATATAACCGACGCTCTAACAGACCACAGTGTACCTGAAGAAGGCCAAAAACGTTCATACTCATGTATAAACAGCTAGAAACAAGTGAGAAAGGTTTTGTCTTGGTCATCTTTTCAATATGTTATATAAAATATAAAAAAGTTAATTAAAAAATAATGTACATGTATATTTAAGGGGGTCAATGAAAAAAAAATTTCTTAAAAGGGGTCAATGCATGAGAAAGGTTGGGAACCCCAGTGTAAACTGAACAAGGTATGATGTTAACTATTTTTTTTATTTATATCTTATATCATGATAAAATTATTGACATTCTTTAAATTATAATACTAAACATTTAATTACATTAATATGGGTAATTTATCTTAACTAAATTAACAGACCATGAATTTAGACTTGGTTACTTTTTTGACAGTATAATTTTATTAATTATACAAAGAAAACATATACAGTTTGGAAAGATACAGTTACTAAGGATTTAAATTTTAATATTAAAAATAAAAATATTATAGAGAATTTAGTTTACAAATATTAAATTTCAAATATCTATGAAAATTTAACAATCCTTATTTAAAAACAACAAATTGCTTTTTTTAAATATAATTCTAAAGTCCAAATCTAAGCAAATAGTATTATAATAATCTGCAATTTACTATTACAAGTAAAAATATAAAAATATTTCAAATAAGAATAATCACTAGACAGTAGTCATCTAACAGTTGTTAGTATTATTATTACAGTATTATTAAATAATAAGTCATATTACATGTGGCAGTTGGAAATTGTGGGATGATATAGTCAAAATCTAAATATTATCAAATATTTTATATTTGATACTTTTTTTTTATTACACCAAATTGGTTTTGGTATTAATTCAACAATCATTTTCTGTGGTTTCACATTCAACACAAATATCACAATCACAGATTTGAGCACATCAGTTGGAATTCTTTTTCCAAACCAAATATTAAAATCTTTTTTTAACTTGAGTGTTTTTATTAATAAATTGTAATTATTAAAATTAAATTAATAAAAACAGTTTTAATCTAGATTTCATATACTGTACTTTATCTTTTAAAGCCATTTAATATGAAAAATTATTTATGTTCAGAAAATTATATTGAAATAAATAACTTGCTTATAACACAGAAAAACATGACATGGTATTAAATACAATCTTAATAATCAAATATTCTATGCAATAATTGATTTTATTGGATTACTTCAACTATTCTTTATACTTTTAGTTAATTTTTGATTACATTACAGTAGTAATAAAACTATCTGTGTCAAATTTTATACAGATACTTTTGTTACTGCACAAAATTTTGTAATCCACTTTTATAATTTAGAATATTTGGTAAAGTAACAGTATTTATGAAAACATATTTTTTAATCCATTTCATTAAAAAAATTATATAGAAATTTCCTAATAATATAAATGCAACTTTTAAGTTGTAATTATTCCTTTCAATAATTTTATTTCTGCCAAGTATTTTTTGATCATATAACATGTTTTTTAAACAACTACTTATTAAAATATAGTAAAATTACTATAATTTATTCTACTTCTTAAAGCCGTAGACTTGAGTTTGTATGGAAGATCAAAATGATGAAATGACGGTTTAACATTCATAGAATTTATATTATCCATTTTCAGAAGTCATACTAAGTATAATATTCTATTAATTTTAAGATTGTAAAACTAATTACATTTAAATTACCCTAACGTCCAGTTTCTACTTACTATTTTATATTATTTATTGTTTCAATGAGAATAAAACTTTAAAAGAGAATGTTATTTTCCTCTAAAAACAAATAGAAATGGGAAATTTATAATTTAGACACACAATACAAGAAAAAGACAAATTAAACAGTAATATTCCCAGCATTACAAAAATTTAACATTATTATAATATACTTACAACTAAAATAATTCAATAAATAGTCCTTGAGCATTAATTTGAACTATACATAAAATCTAATGTATTTTAATAAAACTTTCCAAAGTTATAGGAACTTCACCGTGATAAGGAATTTTACATTCTAATATTTTACGAGCAGCTAAACATTTTAATGTTAAATACTGAAGTGGGTTTATGGTGCATTCGTTAACTCCAGAAAGCATACGATGTGGTTGATTGCCACTACTATTTCTTCTATCAATATGAGCTCCAAAACTTAATAGAGTACTTGTGACTTCTGGCACAAAATTACTTCTTAACGAAGCAATATGAAGAGGTGTACTTAGATTATGATTTGTAGCTTCTATGTTAGCACCACAATCTAGAAGAAGAAAAGTCACTGCAGAATCTGGAAAAATTGCAGTATAAGAATCTTCAAAAATTGTATTTGTTTTCATTGTATTTGCTCTAGATACAACCATGTGAAGTAATGTCTCTCCTGTAGATGTTCGTGGACTTATTCTAAGAATTTCCGTGATTACTTCTCTCATTTCCTTTCTATGTTGTTCGGATGTTGAAATTACATTTAATATGTAAATTAAATGAGTCAGAACTCTAAGAATTTTATCAAAATTATCCTGTTGTCGTTTAAAAACAGGTCGAATTTTTAAAAGATCCATTGAAGTAGCAAATTGACTTACTAAAAGTTTAACAGAACCCAAGACATCATCATACTGTAATTTTTCACGAAGTATTCCTGCATTGTATTTTTCATGTAAATCAAGAAATAATCTAACTAATGCCTGTGCCGTAAAACATACTTCACTGTGGAGCAAACTGTCTTTTTGAATCCGAAGTTCTAAGGCATATCGCCAAAGATCAATACATCTTTGATACTGTAAACCATCGGCATAAGCCGCTCCTCTATACATCAAACGAAAAATCATATCCCGATGAAGAGACCCCAAAATTCTTTCACAGATCAAAAGTGACTGTATTCTCATCGTATCCAAATCAAGAGCCAAATTTTCAAGTTCTTCAGAAGAATCAAACTCCACAGCATTTAGATATGCCCATTTACAAGGTATGTTTTTCGGCTTACTAAGAATACCTGATTTATCTTCATGTCTCAGTTGCAAAGCTTTTCTCCAATAGTATAAAGCAGTCTGAAGATCATGATGTTCGTCCAAAAACGTGGAACCCAACAACTCGTGGGCTTCGGCAACTCTTTCTGGAGTATAATTGTAATTATCGATCAAATATTCGAATATATGAGTGGCTCCTTTCAGACAAGCAGTCTGCAGGGCATCATCACCGTATCTACTTTTTATCAACGGATTGGCTCCATTTTCCAACAACAATTTAGTTGTCTCGAATCTGTGTTCCTGTATCGCGTAATGCAATGCAGTTTTGAATTGTATATCTTGGGCATTGACATCTGCTCCGTGTTTTAATAAAAATCCACAAAGAGGAACACTCTGCACGGAATTAATTAAACAGGTTCCACCATTAAAATTCGGCTTCAAAATATCTGCATTATTCTCTACGAGATATCTAACAATGTCAAGGTGAGTCATAAAACAGGCAGATCGTACAGGTGTGGAACCTGTATCAGAAACGGTATTAACATCGGCCCCATGTTCGATGAGATATTTAACAACGTTAAACTTGCCAGAGACAGCTGCACACCATAAAGGAGTAACATAATGGATGGAACGATCGTCAGGAACTTCAAACATTCCTCTCTGTTCAATGTCAGCATCACATTGAGTGATAAGATATTCAACAATCTCCACATTTCCTTTCTTACAAGCAATAAATAACGGTGCACAACCTTCTTTAACTCTCGATACGATCTCTTTTCTTTCTTCTTTACTAAATCTGTCCAATTTGCTGCGAATCGAATACGGAAGATGTGCACCTGGTGCTGCCAAACGGCATTCCGCATAAAGTTCGTTAAAACTTTTCTCCTTTTGTGAATTCTGATCGACTTTACCGGTAATCCACATCTTCGTTTTATGTAATATCCTCTTATTCCAAAGTCGTCTTACGGTTAAACGATTGTACACTACCTGAGCTCTCCACACCGATAACACTGTCTTTTCACACCCTCTGCCATTTTGAAGTTTAATGCTATTGGCTCTCCCAAATCACATGACGTGACATCATCACATTCTCGAGGTCATGAACTCTTCGTATGTGCGACACGCCGTATTTACACGTTTTGCTCTTTTGCTGGCTCCTGCTGTAAATCAAATATAATAACTAATAAATTATATTTATAAAGTATAATGTCTGCTTTTAACTCGCCGTTCTAAAATATTATCTGGAAAAATTACTTGTGTAGATAAAGGCAAAGTTTCAAAATAATAGTAAGCGCTATCACTTCGATGGCAACAACCTATGCAAAAATATCACAATAATATTAATTTAATATAACTTCTAACCGTGTTTTAATAATAGGATTCGCCCTTCCGCATCCAAATTTATTCACCTTAAATGATATATTTAATTTTATTTGGTATTCATTTATACAAGAGTAAATATTCATGTTTCTATAGAAAAATTCTATATAAATTACTTTAATCTTATCAATTAATTAACTGATTGACACGTATCTAAAATTAGCATAGTTATAAAATATTAGATTAAACCGCTATTACTTTTATGATAAAACGTATCTTTTATTAGACATATCTAAAATTATATAGCCTAGTTTTTAATATGTATCCGAAAATACAGTATACTTTCTGAATTAAGTATCGATCTATTTATATCGTGAATTAAGCAATATGGTTGGTTTTATGGCGAGTTATATTATTTCTTCTATGCCAAATTCTTCCTACTGGTTATTAATGCTGAAAAATATACGTTTTAAGCCGTTTTAGGAAGCTAAATAAACTAATCAGACTTATTAAAACTGTAAAATATTAACCTTAATTAATACAATTTTTGTCTTCCTATTTTTCTCTCTTCCTTTTTTTATTTTATTTTTTATTTTTTCTTAATTCAAGGATCTAATGTTAATGATTTTAGCCTTGACCAAATAACTTAAATGTGGCGTTCACTGACCCCAAAACCTCCATTCCACTTTTTCTAATCTATATTTAGTATATTGTCCTCACGCGCTATTAATTTATTTAACGTATTTCAGTTTATTGTGAATTGATACAGTCTAGTCTCATAGAAATATTGGAAAATAAATGCATGATTTATAACATATAATTGAAAATTGGCTTATTCCTTGAAACAAGTTTAGATCATTAGTAACATTCGTCTTTGTCTCTTTAAATATATCATTTTATATAACATTGATGCTTATTTTCTACTTTAAAATCCTAAGAATTTTATTTGCAATTTTTTAATTTATAAAGGCATAAATTTTAATAATTAATTTCACGTAAAAAATTTTAACTTAAAAGTTTTATCCTAATGTTTTTGTCGATATTTAAATGTATGCCAAAATTTAACCCGATATTATTTTTACTAAATTGCTTTCTAGTTTTGATGAGTCAGTTGATGAATCAGACTTGAATAGCTTCCTGAAAAAAAAAATTATCGTGAGCTTTATCAACATAAAACTAATCGTCTTTTCTATTTATGCCATAGTTTATTGCCTAGTTTTCTTTACAACACATCAATGTTTTGAAGTTAATCGTTTGTTTTTATTTACTATTCGGTATCGGTGATTAAAAATTTAATGCAAAAGTAAAACGTTCAAAGACAGTTATTAACAATAACTTGCTTTTAAATAGCCGATTAAACAAAAAATCAGATTAAATATAAAATCGACCTTGTACTTCGGATAAAAATATTGATTTTTAAACTTGTTACTTTTCATTTGTTTTCATTGGTGCGAAGCTCATTATAATACAAAATATGAGTTTTTTTCAAGGTCTTTTTAATCAACTAAATAAAAGGAATACTATGTAAACACTTATTTTTATTCATAAAATGAAACCATTATCATTTTTGTAATTTTCTAAAAATATTTTCTTTACTAGGTAGAAATAAATATTGAATTGTTTTATATTTTTCTGTATTTTACCTTAAGTTATATAAGTATTGAACCAATTTTATATAATGATATTTGACTTTTTATTATAAATGTTTTCTATTATTTAGAAAAATATATAAAATATTTTATTAACCTTGGCTATAAAAAGAATAGAAACTGTTCATACTACTCTAACCTTCAAAATTATAACTAATACCTATTTTAGATCACACTCATTTTAAACACATGGTTAAACATGAATTGTAGCATAGGATCAATTTTATAAGATAAAATATTTACTGTTAAATTATATTCATCATAAATCATTATTTTATGAATATTATTTAATATCTAAACTTGTGAAAAATAATTAAATATTCGATACTTTTCATAGATTTATAGCCGAGTATTTTCACTAACATCACTAATAATTTTCTATTCGCTTAATTTATTTAAATTTTTTAATTGTTGTAATAAATTATGTAACATTCCAAAAACAAGAAGGCTTTCCTGACTTCTATGTATATATATTTTTAATTATTATAAGAGCTAGAAAGGGTGGAAGAGTTTCTTTCCGCTCTGAGAGCACCAAGAAGCGGAAACTAATAATTAATGTATATAGCTTTTTAATTATTTTTGTGTCCTTGAAAGATATGCAGTTATGTAAACAAGGAAGGAATATGTTCGTTCGTAACGATGATGCAATACTCAAAATGTTCGGAATAGCATATAAGACTTTAAACTAATTAAATAAAATATTTTTATACTTATAATCATTTTTAATTTTTAATTTTAATTAAATGTAAAAAGAATCAATAAAAATTTATTTTAAAAAAGGATTTAAAATATATAATCGATATATATTAAATTTAAGCTTTATTAAATTTACTACGTATGTAAAACGTTAAACGCCACTGGAAAGTGTTTACGACAGATATGTGCAAACAAAGGATAATTTCAAAGTTTACTAAACTCCACAAATAGGATATTGTCAACCGGTCTTAACCAAAAATATTCTAATGACAAATAAAAAGAAAAAAAACATTGGTGTACTTTGGCCAAAAGCCCACCTTTTTCGACATTTTAAAATTAAGTGATGCGAAATAGATTCAACTTTGCACATAAGAACGTTCACCTTTGTATTTTTGAAAAAATATATATAATTACTATTGGAAATCAAAATAAATAATACGATTTGAAAATATTAAGATTTCCTGTCTTTATTTAATTTTTGGAAATATTTTCTATGATGTTTAAACGTATAATGTGATATTTATATCTTAACAAATATAACAGCGTATAGGCCTAGATTGTTAGCTTTATATCGGAAAGAAATTGTTATCTAAACAAAGCCGAAATACGATTCATATGACGGCAGACTATAAATATCTTGATATAAGTACGAAATTTTCTGCATGACGTAAAAATGAATGACTGGTTGTGCATGACATAAAAGCTTCTCCATTTACTTGTTTCGAACAGTTTCTTTTGTATCTAAAAATAAATAAGATCTTATATAATAATTATTTTATTTATTTTATCAGATATTAACTACATTTTGACAAATGTTATCAATATCTTGATAATGAATCGTGTCATCGAGATAATGAAATCATCAAGACAATATTCACGATAAAAGGAGCTACCATTTAATTCGTATCTAATTTAAAAAATCGTAGACTTTAGAATCAAATATAAACAATTGAAAACTTGAAATATATAATAAACTTTTTAGAATAGTAAAATATTTCAAACATTCAGAGAATAGACATAAATCTATATTGACTAACTATACTTAGTAATTTATATATAGGCGTGTATAAGAACTATTAAATATAACTAAGGTGTATAAAGTTTACTCTCTGTTAGATATATTTTATAAAAAGTTAGTATGTTTTCTAGTTTTACATTTGATGAGAAATATGAAAAATAATTTAAAATTTAATAGTACTAAATTTAATAGTACTAATTTTACGTGAAAAATACTCCATAACTTTGTTACTATCTAGTAACAAAAAGTTGTACCGCAATGCGGCCGTATTATCGATTGTTAATTGATGTCGTGATTCAATTTAAATAATTTTGTTTTATAAATGGTACAGAAACAGTCATTTCGAAAACACGTTGGTAGATAAAGATCTAACAAGGAACGAATTCGAACAAAAAACATCATCCTTTGTTCTTTCATATTCTCAGCTGCATTTGAGTATACAAAAAATTATTTTGATGTTTATTAACCTTAAATTTGTTTTTATTCTTATTATATAAACATGTAGTGATAATTTGTTCTGTTTTTAATTACTTACAAGCAACGAGATTACTTGTCGCAGAATGCAACCGGATGTGATTATAACGTCAGAACTAAGGAGCGGAACCACAATTGTCAAATCATACTATAATTTTGAAGAAAAATACTATAATGATTTAATGTGCCGTTCTAAAAATATTTTAAATTACTCTCTGAAACATCTCTTTCTTGTATATTCTGCCTCAATGCTTTAATCTTTGTTTTACTAAGTAAGGTTGTATGCAATTGTCTTATCAAAACTAATAGTTTAATTAATAAAATAGGAAGGGCGTGTAGTTGATGATATTCAATGTATATCCTGTATATTTTCTGAACAAATATGTACATTCAGTTTTTTTTTTTTTTTTAATTGGAAGATTTAAATTTTCAATGTTATAATGGTATTTTTAAAAATTGTTTTTATTGTTAATTTTTTTATAAAATAATTTTATCTTATTTTAGACTATTTTATGCTAGATATGTTTAATATTTTTCGTAAATGCTTTAAATAATTTAAAATTTAAAGCACTATGCTAGATTGGTATTAAGTCAAAAGTTTGTTTTATATTAGAAGAAAATAATCTCGCTCATCTCTTAGAAAACAGATGCCTGGATAAAAAGTTAAATAAGTGATAATTTTTTTTTTTTTTTGAAGATGCGATATAGAACTGTAAGATTTTAATACAGGAAAGGTTTCAATAACGAAAATTTCGCGTTATTATTTGTAGTCACGAAGAAGGAACTGAGGTCTCACGTGATCAGATACACATCTACAGTATTGTATTAGCATTATAAGCCAGTGTCGCTTATTTCAAATCGCTAAACCTGTGTCTAGG